GATTTCCTACCTAAAAGGAGAAAGTAAGCTTGGCCTGTCTTGCTAACCCTCTCCAAGCTTCTGGTCATCTTACTCACTCTGACATACCAGACTTCTAGGACACCCACTGCTTCCCCTTGCTCCTCATCCCCTTTTGATCTGGGTTCTTCCTCTCCTTGGAGTTCAACACTATTCTCCCAAAGGTCACTGGTGGTTTAGCCACTCCTTCCAAAGACCCCTCTGATCTCTGCCTGTATCTGTAGCATTAGGCACTATTGGCAGCAGCCTCTTCTCCTCCTCCTCTTCCTCTTCCTCCTTTTCCTCTTTTTCCTCTTTAGTTAAATTCTCTCCTCACTGGCTTCCATGACGACCCACTCTCTCTGCTCCCCTCCTCCTTCACTGACCAATCGTCATCTGTCTGTCCTACCCACTTCATTGTCAGATTCACCTCCTGAAAGCACAACTCCAGCAATTCCTAATAAGCACTTCTCTGTTCAGAAATCTCCAATGGCTCACTATTGCCCTAAAAAGAAAAGCATGGAATTGCAAAATCGTGCAACTATATGCAATCATAAGATATAATGTAATAATCTGTCAAGAGTCTCATTTTTTTAATCAGTCAAATCTTCAAAGTCCATTAAGAATACTTCTCAGAAGGCCAATGTTTACAGTGCACAAAAATGGCATGCTCTTTAAACATGGCTCTTATTGAAGCAGGGAACTGAAAGCCAAAGAAATTCTAGGGTTCTCAAAACACAATTTGAAACCCAGTGAGCACATTAACTTTCTCAGGCTGCAGATGAGAAAACTGAGGCCCAACAAGGGGATTTCAATTGGCAGAAAGGGGTACAGGGTACAAATGAGTGTATGAACACGTTTTTCATGCTTCTCAGGTGCTGGGCATGGTCTAGGAACTAGGGCTACAGAAGAGAACAGATTAGGTATGGCCCTGTCCTGGAGGACATGACAGCCTCCTGAGGAGTAAACAGAGCATTGTAAACAATTACTGACGTGGCTGCAGGAAAGCGAAGAGAGACTTGGGAAGGGGGAGACAAGCCTGGTCTACCATAAGAAACTGATGCATAAAATGGGGCCAAAAGAAAAAGTAACTGACCAAAAAGAGGGGGAAGAATTGCAGAGGCAAGTTTGATGACCAGCATCTCAGGAAAGCCCAGGGTCTACTACTCAAAGGCCTGGAACAGGGGGACATGAAGCTTCAAAAGTAGGCAGGGTCCCCACAGACCTTTCTGAGACTTCGACACTGGCCTCAGAATCCAGTAGCCAGCAAAGAGTTCTCAGGCATCAAGCTGATCATTTGCATTAAAAGATCACCTGTTGCTAAATGCCATGTAGTATCCTGGTTTGGATCCTAAAGCAGAAAAGAGACATTAGTGAGAAACCTGGGGAAATGCTACAGTTTGTTTAATAGAGATATAACCAATGCTACGTGGGCCATACAGAAGCCATTTAGGAAAGTGGATAAGGGCCAATGAAAACTCTGAACCATTTTTCTGCTTCTTTTTGTAAATTCAAACCTATTTCAAAATAAAATATCCTTTAAACTGACAGTATTAGCATTCACTGTCTATATCATGCTTGCATATAGTATATATCCCTCTGTCAAAGAGTTACAAAATCAACATGGGAAGACAGATTACACAGAATAACGATGACTAACACTAAAACAGTTTTCTCTATACACTAGACATTGTTCCATGTTTAATTCATTTAATCCTCACAATCCCAGGAGGTAGGTGGTGATATTTACTCCTATTTTATAGATAAGGAAGCTGTACATTAGAAGTTCGGTAGAAAAGGTGACAGTTGACCTCAGCCCTAAAGGATGGATCAGAGTTGAACCTGGGGAGACAGAAGAATTTCAGGTGGATAACCTGTACAACTGTGTGGATCAAACTTGTCCAAAGGCACACAGTTACTGAGGGCCCAGAGCTAGAATTTAAGAATTTGAGTTCAGGAGCTGAAGAGATGGCTCAGAGGTTAAGAATACTGGCTGCTTTTCCAGAGGGTGTGGGTTCAGTTCCCAGCACCCACATGGTAGTTAACAACCATCCTTAACTCCAGTTCCAGGGGCTCTGACACCCTCTTCTGGCCTCCACAGGCACTACATAACACTGGTGCACCTACATACATGCAAACAAAACACTCACAGACATAAAAACAAAAATAAACAAGCAAATAAATAAAAGTTTTAAAAAATAATTTCAATCCAGCACTAGCTATGGTACTGCACAGCTATAACCCTAGGACTTGGGAGGTGGAGGCTTGAGGACCAGAAGTACAAGGCCAGCCTCAGCATAGTGAGTTTGAGGCCAGTCAAGGCCACCTGAGGCCCTGTCTCAAAAAAAAAAAAAAAAAAGAAGACTTTGAATCCAGGCATTCCAGTTCCAAAGTCCCATGTGCCTGATCAATACATTTCCTCCTCCCCTCGGTGTGATCTGACTACGCTGCCAAATGGCATCACAAGGACCACACAGAAATCACAAGCACAGGGACAAGGATGACAACAGCAGAAGTGAAGTAATGTCATTACATAAGATACAGATGAAGCAGAATCATCAGGGTTTGCTTTAGAGCTGGAATATGAACATTAAGAGGGGCAAGAATGATAGCTTAAGAGCTAGATCCACAGGCTGTCCTCCAGATACTTGGTCTTGTTTTCCTTCCCACCCCTGAAGAAAACCTTTCAGACCTTTCACAATCTAACTGCACCTACCTGTCCCTTTCTCTCATACTTCCTCAGAATGCAAAACAAACCAGACCACTTGCTGTTCCTACGAAAGCAGAACTCTCCCACCTTCATTCACCTCCACACACTTGCACTGGGTTGTGTCAGCCACCTGAAATTCTCTCTTCTGCTTCCCTGGGTTCAAACCTGGTCCATCCTTCAGGGCTAGAGTCAACTGTCACCCCTTTAAACAATCTTCCTCTGTTTGGAGTTGAGGGTTGTCTGAAATACTGCCTCAGTCACTTGCCTTCATCTTCACCATCCTTAAGCAGCCATGTCCCTACCGTGAAGACACATCCTCTCTGGACACCTCTTTAAGTGTAACAGATCCAAGAAGCCTCAAGAATGTGGAGAGGGTAGGAGAGAAAGACCAGAGTATTGACAGATCTTGGTGCATCTGGAACTGCCCCCCCCCTCCCCAGCCCATCCATCCAGCTCCTATCAAGGAGCTCAATTTGGCCTTGGCCCTTTAAATATGTGCCAGCCAGATCCCTGGCTGCCAGACTGGCTACCACATGCTAAATTTGACAGGGCATTCCCCAGCTTAAGACTCTCCTGTGTCTCCCTGGCTTGATTTAGAGACCTGACCTTACCTCAAGCTGAGGCTCCGTTAGGATCCACCATTTGTGGGACCCTCCGCCATGCCCTGGCTGGTGCTCACCTATAGCCCTTCCTGGTTCTAACCTCTACCTTAAATCCAGCTGCTGGTGGGCCTCCCCTTCCTGAGCTTACCTGTATGTACTTACCTGTGTTTGTTTGATGCCTCCACCAGCCCCTGCACTCCCTTCCCATGGAAGTATTCTTGTCTACCCCAGCCCAGGCTAAACTGGATACTTTCCCAGTGACCCAGGAAGCCCACACCACACTGCAGTGGATGATTTTTCAGGACATCTGTTTTTGAGTCTCTTCCCCCATTAGACCCAGCTCCTAACTGGGGAAGGACGATGCAGTGACGCTGTGTATTCCCAGGTCTCGCCGCTGTGGTACAAAGTCAGTCCTGAGTTCTAGGCATGAAACATAAAAGACTGAAGCAAGTGGGTGAGTGTTCCTCTAAATGAAGATTCTAACTTCTTAGTAAGGGCAGGGCCAGGCCCCCTGTAGTAAGAAAATGTCTCCCTCCTCCTGTCCTTTCCACTCTCTGAAAGGAAATATTACATTTTATCAGAAACCCACTGCTTCCCACTGCCCCAGAGAGCTTGAGGCTGGGCAAAGGGCAAAGGGGGGCGTTGTCTGGTCAGGCCTCTGGGGAGTACTCAGCTCTCTTCACTGGGAAACCCTTGTCGGTTTGCCTCTCCCAGGCCAAGGATGGGGACAAGGAGGTCCAGGCTTCAGGCCGCCCAGGGCCCCGCGGGCTCGGTCGCCTTGGCAAGAAGCCGCCCGGATGTGGTAGGTGGTGAACGGGATGGGGCGGAGAGTCCCAGCCCTGCAGGAGACACGGACTGGATGGGCCACTTTCGCGGGAATCCTGCAAACCGCTCAGAATAGAAAAGCAAAGGAAGCCAACTCGGCTTCTTTTGCACTCTTTGGGGAAGGCAGGGTGCTTCAGTTTCGGGACAAGGACCCCCACCCCCGGAAGGCAGTGAGGATTATAAAAGAAGCCCCACTAGACACCTGAGTGCCCCGATCTCACCCACTAGTGCCCTCCCGCGGCTTCTAGCTTTCGCAGTTGATCTTCTGCAAAGATACCTCCGTCTGGCATTCAGACTCTGGAGAGGAGAGGGAGCTTTGGTCCGTGGGTTCTAGACCGCGCTCTGCTTCTTTCGGCTCTAGACCACTCGTCTTACCCTCCTCTGGGTCTTTGTTTCCTCATCTGTGAAATGGGTTCAGGGTTGCAGAACAGGGCTGGCCAAGCCCTCTGAGCTCGGACAATGCTAGACCCAGTGTTCACAGGCCTCCTCGCGGCCGCCCACCCCA